TTTCTGATATCTCTTATTTGTTGTTTTTAAAAATGGGTTTCTAATTCCTTTCTTTTTCTGGGTTTGTCAAAATGATTGGGTGAAATTTTTGATGTGCATTGTTATTGTTTCTTTTATTTCATTCGTTTGATACTTTCATTTTTTCACTTAAGAAATCCATGGGAATGGGACTTGAGTATTTCAACAAAAGGGAATTGGGAAATGGACTTTTGTTAAGTGTTAAATGAACCCTTTTGTTTAGGAATAATCGAAGGTGTATTCTGATACAAATTTCTATAAAGATTCAAGAAACTTTGGGAAAAGTCTTTCTTGAACCTTATTGTTGAATCTGGAAAGCTTCAGCTAAAATTGCCGTAATAACTCATAAATTAAAATAAACATGCTATAGCAATGTACGAATTTGCAGTAATGCAAATAACTTTTGTCATCAATGAATTGAGATATACTCAGAAGCTTTTAATATTGATAAATCAATTCTTTACTTTTTAGATCAATTTTAATGATTAATAAAAACTATACAAAAATTTCTTGTTATAAAAATAATTAAATTTCAATTCAAGAATCTTTATATCAGAAAAATACAAAGAAAAATAATTCAACCTGTTCCCTAAGGACGATAACTCTTTCTTCGGAAATTACTACCCAACAGCTCCAGGCCTCCAGCAACATTATATATTTTAGGCAATACTTTAAATTAAATAATAAAAAAAGCTCTTGCAATGGCTGAGGGTGCTCCTCCTCCATGGCTTATGAATATGCTGGCAATACCGCTGTTTTATTATTTTGTTCTTTGCCTTGTCATTAATTGGCATATAATGGGTAACACATTTGTTATTGGAAAAAAAAAATTAGCTACCCATGCCATAGTAGTAGGAGTGTAAATGGGCTAAGCCGTCCTACAAGGGCCTACGGCCTAGCCTATATTAGGTTAGACTTGAATTATTACTAATAGTAAAATAGAACAGGCTCAAAATTTTAAAAAAACTTATTTAGAAAATAGGTCATAGGCTTTTTTGTACATGTCGGGCCTATAAGCCTCAGGCCGACCTATATCCTATTATTTATTTTAAATAAAATAAATAAAAATTTTAATTTAATAATTTTGAATAAAAAAATATTATTTTAATTATTCATTTAATTGTTGAATTTTTAGCCTTGGATGTCTCTTTGCGAAAGAAGTGGTTGCTGATATCCAAGGAGATATAATAATACTAATTCATATCTTTGAGATATATAAAATTGGCAAAAAAATTTAATTATTGCATTTTAATTAAATATTACGCATTTATGGCAGTTTTGGAAATAATTACGGATCTATTTTACAATGTGACGCCTCATTTAGGCATCTCTCACCTAAGGTTGACACGTGTCATTTTTTATAAAAAAATAATAATAATTTAATCATAAAACTTCTGAAGGCCATAACTTTTGACTCGGGTATCCAATTCAGGTAATTGTTTTTTGATTCCACATAACTTTTCGAGATCTACGCAATGACATCTCATTTGATATATTTTATTTCTCTCAAACATAATTTAAATTTAAATTAGGTAATCCTTATTCCTTAGAGATTTAGAATATTTATTGAATTATTTCATTTATTAATACAGATTTTTCAAATTGATTTTTGAGTTTAAATCACAAATCAAATCTTTATTTTATTTTCCTTATTAATAATAATTGTTACTTTTAATTTAAATAACAAACCAAATTTTTTTATAATAAAAATAAAAATAAAATTTAAATATAATCACACATCAAATCTTGATTAATTTTTTATATTAAATCACACACGCAGATTGGTTCACAATCCAAAACTGTAAAAAATTAAATCACATATCACAAATTTTATTTATTTTCTTCTATCAAATCACAATCCAAACCTCCAAAAAAAAAATCACAATCCAAATTGCATAATTAATTAATTAAAATGCAATAATTAAATTTTTTTCCCATATAAAATTCTAAATCTAGCCTTTTAATTGGTTCCCACCGCCTCAGTTTCCATCGTTCTAACGCAACAACGTGAGAGAGACAGAGAAAGAAGAAACCCTATTTGTTGTTTTTCTTGTTTACCTTGTTGTTCTGTCCGGTCAAACACTTCACTCTTTTTTTTTTCTTTCTCTTGTCGATCTACTCGACTTGTTTTCCAGCGAATTTTCCTAGGAAAATCTGGAGAACCGATAAAAGATGAAGAGAGTAAGGGATGAGGCTCCTCCAAAGAAAACGGTTGAATTTGAAGAAGCTATTAGTTTTGTGAACAAGATAAAGAAACGATTCCAAAGTGATGAGCATGTTTACAAATCAGGCACGAAACAAACTCTTAACAGTTCAGAAACTATATCACAAAACACAGAGTTGTCTTTTGCAGTATATATAGAAAGGATACTGATGCAGAGTAAATCATATGCGTTTACTCTATTATAGGCATTACATTTAAGAGAATAAACTTTAATTTAATATATAAGAATGTATTCTACTTTTTTGCCCCTTTCTTTCATTCCCTATTTAGTACAGACGGCTTGTAATTCTTGATTTGTTTTTAAGATGGAAATTGTTATAGGATTCTTTGATGGACAACGATTAAAGTGCCACATTTTTTGTAAAAAATTATCTGAATGTCACATTTTGTAAATTTTTGTTCATAATGTCACGTTACCTAACTCGCTTACAACACCTGGTGAGTTAGGCGTTGTCACATTTAGATGGGCGAACATTATTTATAGAATAAAAAATAATAATATTGTAAAGACTCATGTGAGATTTTTGTCAATATAAAATAATAACAGCAGGGATTTGAACTTGCAGCGCTTTCATGAGAAAAAGAAATCTGTCAAGAAAGCTGAAGGTTTTGGGTTGGCTTCAGACTTTTCTTCTAAGGAAGACAAGGATACCTTAAAGAACATGTATAGTCAAGCATTCAGTTTCTTTGAGAAAGTTAAGGAGAAGTTGAACAGTGCTGATGACTACCAAGCTTTCTTGAAGTGCCTTCATAATTTTTTCGTCAGTGAAATAATAAAAAGGAATGAATTGCAAAATTTGGTAACCGATTTACTTGGAAAGCATCTTGATTATGGTGGAATTCAATGATTTCCTGGAGTGTTTGGAAAATATTGATGGGTTCCTTGCTGGTGTCATGAGTAAAAAGTCACTAAGATCATCAAAGTTGGAGGACAAAGACAAAGACAAAGAGCAGAAGCGTGAGATGGATGGAGCTAAAGAGAAGGAAAGATACAGGGAGAAGGAGTACATGGGAAAATCCATTCAAGAACTTGACCTCAGTGACTGTAAACGTTGCACTCCCAGCTACCGGCTTCTACCTGCTGATTATCCAATTCCTACAGCTAGTCAGAGATCTGAGCTTGGTGCTCAAGTATTGAATGATCACTGGGTATCTGTGAGTTCAGGAAGTGAGGATTACTCTTCCGAACATATGTGCAGGAATCAGTACGAAGAAAGCTTGTTCAGATGTGAAGATGACAGATTTGAGCTGGACATGTTATTAGAGTCTGTGAGTTCTGCAGCTAAACGTGCAGAGGAATTATATAATAACATGAATGAAAATAAGATCAATATGGAGACTCTGAACCGTATTGAAGATTACTTTACTGTTCAAAATTTAAGGTGCATTGAACGTCTATATGGTGACCATGGTCTTGACGTTATAGACATATTGCGTAAAAACCCAACTCGTGCGCTCCCTGTAATATTGACTCGACTGAAGCAGAAACAGGAGGAATGGAGTCGGTGTCGTTCAGATTTCAATAAAGTTTGGGCTGAAATTTATTCTAAAAATCACTTAAAGTGAAGCAGCAGAAAGAGGATGATATTCTTCAGTCTACTATTGCAGCTGGAAACAAATTAGTTCGGTATTCATGTGATATGAGAGTATGAATGAGGCTGATGGTAGAGTAACTGAGGTAAAGAATGTTCACCGGACTAGTGTAGCAGCCAGTGATAAAGAAAATGGATTATTTTTTGGAAGCTTCACAAGCTTCCACAAGCAGCCAGTGATTTTGGTTTTTCTGTTTATGTTTACTCACTTCAATTCTTTTTCATTACTGGTTTAATGAATTTTATTCAAGGTTAAAATAATAATAATTAAAATTGGTTCTTTTTCACTTCAATTCTTTTTCACTTCGGTATACGGGGTTCTATTATTTTTGTCACTTCAACCTTTGAACCGGAAAGAACAAACTCAAAAATTGAGTTTTTTGATCTATCTACAAATGTTATTATTTGTTTGTTTTATAAACCTCAATAATAATAATAATTTTACAGTTGAATATAATATTTTCAATTATATGTTTTGGATTGAGAGTATGAATCGATGATAGAAATATGAATTATTTAAAATAAATAAAAATATATCGCTAAGCATATTTTTGAAAAAATGATAATTAATTAAAAATATCATGATTCATGAAGAAGTAATTATAAGGTCTAAACAGTAACTTCAGTCATCATAACCACAACTAACAAATATATACAGATTATAATTTATACATAATCGATACATTATTTTGCCGTGTGAAATTTTCCAAGCTCAATACTGTTAACACACAAATTGCAAGTTCTTCCTCACACATAACTTCCATGTAGGGATTTAAATGGATCAAATGGTCTATTAAGTGTTTATAATTCGGTCTAAGTAGGTTAGGTTTGACCTAGCTAATATATTTAGTAAAATAAAATAGGCTTGGACCTCAAAAAAAACTTGTTTAGAAAACATTTCCTTTTACAAATATTGACCTATACGTCAGTATATCGTATTATTTAATTTAATTCAAATAAAATAAATAATTATTTATATAAATTTAACTAATAAAAATTAATTTTATATATATATATATATATTAACTTTGATAATTATTAAAGATTCGTAGGCTTAAACATGTTAATATGCCTAGGTCATATATTTTGATTTTTAAATATAGACAAGACCAAACCTATAATGTAGAGTACACCAAATTATAGGTTGCATTGACGTGGCTACCCAGATGGGGAGGAAGAACAAGATTGAAGATGATTATGTTACTGGGGTGAGGATCGGGCAAGGAAAGTATGGATCTGTTTCGTTGTGTAGGTCTCTTGTTGGCGGCGCGGAGTATGCGTGTAAGACTCTGAAGAAGGGGGATGAGACTGTTTACAGGGAGGTGGAGATAATGCAGCACTTGTCTGGGCATCCTGGGGTTGTGACTCTGCTGGCAGTGTATGAGGAAGCTGATTGCTCTCATCTGGTGATGGAATTGTGCTCTGGGGGAAGACTTGTCGACCAGATGTTTAGGGAGGGCCCTTGTTCTGAACAGCGGGCTGCTAATATACTTAAGGAAGTGATGTTGGTCATCAAGTATTGTCATGATATGGGAGTTGTGCACAGAGATATCAAGCCTGAGAATATTCTGCTTACTGCTTCGGGGGAAATAAAGCTTGCTGATTTTGGCCTGGCCATGAGAATTTCTAAGGGTAATATGTTAAACCTGTTTGGATGATCTTCTTTTTTTGTTATCCTATGGTATATATATGTGCTAACTTCTATGAATAGAATCCTTACACAACCTTCCTTGTGTAAAATTCCATCCTAGTCATTCTGTTAATAAAAAATGTCTAGGCAAGTTTGAAGAAGTTCATCATGATGAGCTTTCAACTGAATTGTACTTTACTAATGTTACCCTGTACATAGGAGTAAAAATTGGAGAGTTCAAATGGTCATCTCCCTTAAGTTTACTATGTTCAGTATTCAATTAAATTTGCTAGCGGTCTAAGAATAAGAGGTCCTAGAGAACTGGGAGCCCTGCATATGTTGCACCAGAAGTGTTGTTGGGTAGATACTCAGAAAAGGCGGATATATGGAGTGCTGGAGTGCTCCTGCATGCTCTGTTGGTTGGTGTTCTTCCATTTAAAGGGGATTCACAAGAAGCAGTTTTTGAGGCTATTAAGAATTCCAAGCTAGAGTTCCAAACCGGGATGTGGGAATCAATATCTAAACCTGCACGAGATCTTGTTGGGAGAATGCTGACAAGGGATATTTCAGCAAGGATAACAGCTGATGAAGTACTTAGTAAGTTTATGGTAGATTATTAATGTTTTGTAGCGTGCTTTATCTCTCTTCCTCAATGATGAATACACCAAAGACTAGTTGTATTTGGTCTGATTTTTTGTTTTTTAATCTTGAAATAATTAAAATTAGAAATTTCCAAGTTTTGTTGAAAAGTATCTTTGCCGTTCACATGAATTCTTAATAATTAGAAGGATTGCCTTGTTTTGGTTGGGATAACAGTGGTGGGAATCTGTTAATTCTCACATACTTTTGTTAGTTTTTATTATGTGTTCTTCTATGTGGTTGAGGCTCTCTTTTTCTCCCTAATGTTTTTAAACAGGAAATAAAATGACAGTACTTTTAAGTTTTAAGAACTGTTCGATTGTTTGCATGTTAAATTAATATTATGTGGTTCAATTTCAGGACATCCATGGATATCTTTCTACACAGAACGTACATTGAAGATCCTGCCCGTTGAATCAAAGTTGAAGCACCAAAATGGAGCTGCTTGCCACAACTTTGTTGCTGCACCTGAACCTAGGTTAGGAAGAAACAGGATGGATGATGGGTTCCTTAATGAGGTTTCAAGCCTTTCTTCATCATCTGAAAGTTGCAATTCAGAATATCATGATGTTTGTGTGTGGATTGATGCACTTGCCAATGCAATTTCACATGTAAGGATATCTGAACCAAAGAAGAGCAAGTTGTGGGCAGTTCCAATTCATCAACAAGGTTTATATAACATGAGGGCTAACCTCTGTAAAGCATTTTGACCTACTGACAGGTTGACACCCCATAAACCACTATCTCTGCTGCTTTAGCTGGGGTTTTATAGTATACTTTGCCCAACACATTCTACAGTTGGCAAAAGTGGATTACATTTTTTTCCTCTAAATAATGATTACTGAGAAAACTCAGCTAGTTGTACAGAACCTGTGAATATGATATTAGTGTGTCACTGCATGTTTTTGCTCTTGCTGGAGCATGATAAATAGAATGCTATGATTTCACTTCAGTGAAAACTTGACCTACTCATATGTTTTTTTGGAAGATTTTAATCCGAAACCATGAGTGCATAAGCGTATGTTATCCCTCCCATAACGCTGCATGTGTACTTATTTAGTGTTGGCAATTTGTATTTCAAGACATACTTTTTTGTACAGATGGTAGCGAGGAGTTTGACCTTGAGTCAATTATATATAGCAATGGCGTTTACTTTGAAAATGGAGTTGACAGCTGCTTGCTTATTTTCACTGAAAAAAAAAGGAAAAAAAAGTACTTCTACTTGTGTTTAGAAGAGGCGAATCTTAACTACCAGGGGATAGATTTTGAAAGGCTATAAAATTTAGATTATTTATCTGTTAAGGTGAGGTTAAGGGGTAATCGAGATAATAGGTAGGAACATATTTAGGAAGAGGGTATAGCTGAAAAAGGAAACATTAGATAATTCAATCCAAACCGAAAAAAATTGGATTGGATCGGATCAGATCGGATCGGATTTGAATGTTTTACTTCAGGAAAAAAAAAAGCATGTATGGGAGAAATATGTTTGGACGTCTACTTTTAAAAAGAGTAAAAGTCATAAAAAAAAGTTAAAAATCTTTTTTTTTTAAATGAAAATTTTAGCTTCTAAAAATAACATAAGTTAAAACACAAATATTTTTTCAAAAACTAAATATTGAAAACTCATCCAAACAATCACTTATTCTCATAGAAGTGAAACAGAGCACTTTTATTATTATTGTGAATTTAAATTGGAATCAAGGAATGGGAACACCCATTTATCAAGTATATATTATTTTATTTTTTAAAAATTCCTGATATGAATTAAGAGAAATCAAATAAAGGAAATTCAAGAAAAAACAAAGTCAGGTATTGGATGAAGGAAATTCCTAAGATAGAAATTAGGGAACAAATTAGGGAGAAAGTCAAGAAGAATATCAGAAATTTGTGTAAGGAAAAAAGTCCAATATGATGACAATATTGAATGGTAATTAACCTGGTATTGACCAATCATAAAGGGGGAATAAATACCAATGATTTTCAGATTTCAAATTTGAATTACCATTTCAAAATCCAAGTTAAAGTTATTCATTAGTATTTTATAACAACTCCTACTTTATACATGTTCAATGTTAATATGATGACAATATTGAATGGTAATTAATATGATGAAAATGAGAAACGTGTGTAAGGAAAAAAGTCCAATTTCGTTAATATGATGACTATTAAATGGTAATTAATCTGATATTGAACAATATAAAGAAGGGAATAAATACCAATAATTTCCAGAATTCAATATTTGGATTACCATTTCGAAATCCAAATTAAAGTTATTCATTAGTTTTTTAAAACAGTTCCTACTTTATACACGTTCAATGCTTTTTCTTATATAATTTGACGATATTCATTTTTTTTTCTTACTAGTTCATTATTTTTCTTACCTAATTTGACCCTGTTGATTTTTTTATTCCATAACATGTAATTTGTTATTCCCATGGGATTGGCGGTATCAGATTGATCAAAGTTAAGAGCAATATTAAAAAAAAACTTTTTATCTTTCTTTCTTTATTTTTTAACTTTTCAAAAATTTTAAAAATAGCAGAGGTGAAGATTAACGACCCGTTTGAATGAATTTTTTTTTCAAAAATTGCATTTTATAAGTAAAAAGATATATTTTTCACTATAAGTTATTTTAGATTTCTATTATAAAAAAAGCAAAAATTACAGTTACTTATATAATTATATATAATAAATAAAATTTACTGAAATGTAGCTGGGGCTCCGACCCTACCTAAGCATAATGTGGTTCCGCCACTGATGGGCAAGAAAACAAAAAAAAAAAACCGTCTAACGTCCAAAAGAATGGCTCCACACAATGGCGGAGCCAGAATTTAACTTTAGTTGGGGCAAAAAATTTGACATGTCAAACATTTATCATAATTACACATACCTTTTATTTTTTAATAATATAATATATGATGATTTATATTATTCATTTAAAAACATATTCTGAGATCAATTAGAATAATGTTTGGTTCATTACTTATTATGTTGTGGGAGGAAAGTGAAATTTTATGTTTGAAATGTTTATCGAAAAAGTTAGTGCATTTTTATATGTTTGCTCTGATATATAATCAACGACAATTAGGCTGCGCATGACAATCATTCTGATTCCTGGCACTGTTTCTGAAAAGGAATGATTCTTTTCTATTTCTGTGCCTTGGAACAATTCTGAGAATCAGAATTACGTTTGTTAACATATTTTATTTTTATTCCGAGAATCAGAATTACGTTTGATAACACATTTTTTTTATTCCGATAATCAAAATTACGTTTGATAACACAATAAAAATCTATTTCTTTACTTTTGTTTATAGATTTCATCAACTGTATAAAATTGCAAATGACAATAGATTTTAACCGAAATACCAAATTTTATATTTAAAAAATTATATAAAAATTTATAATATTTTATTTATAGTTGTCATGCCTTAACCTCATCTTTGGATTGAGAGGAGAAAATGGAAAAAAGTTTTTAAAGTTTCAAATCTTTTCTCAATTGACTGAAGAGAAGAAAAATAAAGCAACTAAAATAATAGAAATCAAAAATTAAAAAAATTAGCGTCATCTCTTTCTTAATCTTTTCTCTCATTTTCTTCCATGTCATTAAAAATTTATTAGGGCCGTTTGGATGGATTTTTCTCTCTCAAAAAGTTGTCTTTCTTCAGAAAAAAAAAGCATGTATGAAAAAATATGTTTGGACGCCTGCTATCTTTTTTTTTTTTTTTAACTTTTCAACAATTTAAAAAATAGCAGAGGTGAAAATTAAGGACTTGTTTGAATTTTTTTTTCTTTCAAAAACTGCATTTTTAAGGAAAAAAATATTTTTCACTATACGTTAGTTGCGATTTCTATTTTAAAAAAAGCATAAATTGCAAAAAAGTCAAACATTTATGTGAAATTTGTTGAATATTTGCGTTACCATTTCAAAATCCAAATTAAAGTTATTCATTAGTTTTTTAAAACAGTTCCTACTTTATACACGTTCAATGCTTTTTCTTATATAATTTGACGATATTCATTTTTTTTTCTTACTAGTTCATTATTTTTTTTACCTAATTTGACCCTGTTGATTTTTTTATTCCACTGATTGAGGAAATTTTTTAAAATCGTAATCAAATACACCCCTTGAAATAGTGACGCACGCAGGAGAACATAAACTGGAACATCCTATATTATATTAAAGGAAACAACGTTAGCTAAGCAAAAAGAGTGTGACTCTCAGAGAGTACCCGTCTTCTTTCTTTCTTTTTTCTGTGCCGTTCGCGTATTCCCCTAAAACTTTGATAGCAGATTTTTAGGGTTTCAGTCCCTGATTGAGAAACTACGTCGTAATAGTTTCCCAATTTGTGACTTTTTTCTCATTGCTTATACTCTCCGCAACGCATTACAGGATCATTGGCTGGGATTGCGAAGGTTTGTTTCTTTTTCTTTCTATGTTCTGGCATCTTCTTTTCTTGTCTTGCAGGGGTCTCGTGATGTGATGGCGCTTTTTGGCGCCATTACGTTGCGAGAAAGCTTCGGGGTTCGATTTACTTTCTTGAAGTTTAATATTTGTGTTTGGATGCTTTCCTTGTGGTTTTGCGTTCATTCATGATCAATCTGACTAGAATTCGTTGACTGATCTTTCTCTATTTTGACTGCAGAATTGTGTCTTGCGGCAAAAATCGGATTTTGCACACTGGGTACGTGATCAACACAAAGATTGGTGTTGCGTTGGTACTTTACTGATAGATGCTATGAGGATGAAAAGGAAAGGAAGTGAGTGTGACGAGTCCTCGAAATTGACTGACATTTTGAGATCCAATCATGGGTCTCCGTCGTCCAATTTTGAGACCCATTATTCGATGGAAGATTGTTCGAGGTTGAAGAAGAGGTGTAGAGAAAATACTAAGATAGACTCAGCTGGTTCCTACAAGAGTAGGGTGGCGGGTTTTGCCACTGCTCCTCCTTGTGGGACATTGTCTCTGATGACCGCGGGAAGAGGCCTAAAGAGGAAGATAGGTTGCATTGACGTGGCTACCCAGATGGGGAGGAAGAACAAGATTGAAGATGATTATGTTACTGGGGTGAGGATCGGGCAAGGAAAGTATGGATCTGTTTCGTTGTGTAGGTCTCTTGTTGGCGGCGCAGAGTATGCGTGTAAGACTCTGAAGAAGGGGGATGAGACTGTTTACAGGGAGGTGGAGATAATGCAGCACTTGTCTGGGCATCCTGGGGTTGTGACTCTGCTGGCAGTGTATGAGGAAGCTGATTGCTCTCATCTGGTGATGGAATTGTGCTCTGGGGGAAGACTTGTCGACCAGATGTTTAGGGAGGGCCCTTGTTCTGAACAGCGGGTTGCTAATATACTTAAGGAAGTGGTGTTGGTCATCAAGTATTGTCATGATATGGGAGTTGTGCACAGAGATATCAAGCCTGAGAATATTCTGCTTACTGCTTCGGGGGAAATAAAGCTTGCTGATTTTGGCCTGGCCATGAGAATTTCTAAGGGTAATATGTTAAACCTGTTTGGATGATCTTCTTTTTTTGTTATCCTATGGTATATATATGTGCTAACTTCTATGAATAGAATCCTTACACAACCTTCCTTGTGTAAAATTCCATCCTAGTCATTCTGTTAATAAAAAATGTCTAGGCAAGTTTGAAGAAGTTCATCATGATGAGCTTTCAACTGAATTGTACTTTACTAATGTTACCCTGTACATAGGAGTAAAAATTGGAGAGTTCAGATGGTCATCTCCCTTAAGTTTACTATGTTCAGTATTCAATTAAATTTGCTAGCGGTCTAAGAATAAGAGGTCCTAGAGAAAATGCTTATAATAGTTTGAAGCTAACCATTCATACTCTAAGGTCACTTTGTTTAATTTTTAAGCATTTAAAAATATCAGTAATTCAATTGACATATATATAAATACACACACATAAGTAAAAGATACATACATGCATACATGAGTAATTTATGCATAGCCTCATTGTCTAGAAATTTGCATTGCAGGTCAGAACTTGACGGGTTTGGCTGGGAGCCCTGCATATGTTGCACCAGAAGTGTTGTTGGGTAGATACTCAGAAAAGGCGGATATATGGAGTGCTGGAGTGCTCCTGCATGCTCTGTTGGTTGGTGTTCTTCCATTTAAAGGGGATTCACAAGAAGCAGTTTTTGAGGCTATTAAGAATTCCAAGCTAGAGTTCCAAACCGGGATGTGGGAATCAATATCTAAACCTGCACGAGATCTTGTTGGGAGAATGCTGACAAGGATATTTCAGCAAGGATAACAGCTGATGAAGTACTTAGTAAGTTTATGGTAGATTATTAATGTTTTGTAGCGTGCTTTATCTCTCTTCCTCAATGATGAATACACCAAAGACTAGTTGTATTTGGTCTGATTTTTTGTTTTTTAATCTTGAAATAATTAAAATTAGAAATTTCCAAGTTTTGTTGAAAAGTATCTTTGCCTTTCACATGAATTCTTAATAATTATAAGGATTGCCTTGTTTTGGTTGGGATAACAATGGTGGGAATCTGTTAATTCTCACATACTCTTGTTAGTTTTTATTATATGTTCTTCTATGTGGTTGAGGCTCTCTTTTTCTCCCTTATGTTTTTAAACAGGAAATAAAATGACAGTACTTTTAAGTTTTAAGAACTGTTCGATTGTTTGCATGTTAAATTAATATTATGTGGTTCAATTTCAGGACATCCATGGATATCTTTCTACACAGAACGTACATTGAAGATCCTGCCCGTTGAATCAAAGTTGAAGCACCAAAATGGAGCTGCTTGCCACAACTTTGTTGCTGCACCTGAACCTAGGTTAGGAAGAAACAGGATGGATGATGGGTTCCTTAATGAGGTTTCAAGCCTTTCTTCATCATCTGAAAGTTGCAATTCAGAATATCATGATGTTTGTGTGTGGATTGATGCACTTGCCAATGCAATTTCACATGTAAGGATATCTGAACCAAAGAGGAGCAAGTTGTGGGCAGTTCCAATTCACCAGCAAGGTTTATCTAACATGAGGGCTAACCTCTGTAAAGCATTTTGACCTACTGACAGGTTGACACCCCATAAACCACTATCTCTGCTGCTTTAGCTGGGGTTTTATAGTATACTTTGCCCAACACATTCTACAGTTGGCAAAAGTGGATTACATTTTTTTCCTCTAAATAATGATTACTGAGAAAACTCAGCTAGTTGTACAGAACCTGTGAATATGATATTAGTGTGTCACTGCATGTTTTTGCTCTTGCTGGAGCATGATAAATAGAATGCTATGATTTCACTTCAGTGAAAACTTGACCCTACTCATATGTTTTTTTGGAAGATTTTAATCTGAAACCATGAGTGCATAAGCGTATGTTATCCCTCCCATAACGCGCTGCATGTGTACTTATTTAGTGCTGGCAATTTGTATTTCAAGACATACTTTTTTGTACAGATGGTAGCGAGGAGTTTGACCTTGAGTCAATTATATATAGCAATGGCGTTTACTTTGAAAATGGAGTTGACAGCTGCTTGCTTATTTTCACTGGAAAAAAAAAGGAAAAAAAAGTACAGCTACTTGTGTTTAGAAGAGGCGAATCTTAACTACCGGGGGATAGATTTTGAAAGGCTATAAAAGTTGAGATTCTTTATCTGTTAAGGTGAGGTTAAGGGGTAATCTAGATAATAGGTAGGAACATATTTAGGAAGAGGGTATAGTTGAAAAAGGAAACATTAGATAATTCAATCCAAACCGAAAAAAATTGGATTGGAACGGATCGGATCGGATTTGAAAACAAATCAAAACCGAAGGGATGATTATATGATCAAAACGAAGGGATTGGATCGGATGAATTTTGCTTCCAAAATCGATCCAATCCAGACCGCGAACACCCCTAGTGAATCATATGCTCGGAAAAAGAAAGAAAAGGTGCATATGCTTTGGAATATTTTTTTAACGAAGAGGGTAATTTATTATTTAGATCTCTCATGAGTCATGATGATTAGGATTGGCTCATAAAATGCTAGATTGAAATTAATGTTAAACAAATTTGTTTATTATTAGTTAAAAGAATAGAAAAATATGTAATCATAATAAATTAATTCTAGATTGTAGTAAAAATCATCAAAACATAACCAATCACCAAACTTAATTCATAATTTTTATAAATATAATCAAAACAATTAGTAATTCATGAAAATTGTGAATTTAAAAATGTTTAAACCCAAAGTTTCTGGTTAGCTCATTACAAGTTGAGAGAAAAGTAAATTAATATGGATTGAATTTTGGTAACTTAAACCAGATTAATTGATAAGTCATGACTCAATTTAACAACTCCGGTATCGAGGTATAAGTGTTTACTCTACTTTCGCTTTGAGTCAACTATGTATTATGGTAAAATAAGAATAAAAATTTCATGGATATATCTTAAACATAATTTACTAATAAAATTGATTCATGAATTTTTGCCCTCTTTTTTACTCTCATGGCTCAAAGTATTCCGATCAAATCAGGAAAAAGAGAGGGATTTAGTGTGTCCTTTTAAAGGACGTAAATTATGTCCTTTTAGACATAAATAGTTTTGTCAATAAAGAGAGGACAAATGATATATTTTAATTAAAATACGAGATAATTCTCTTTTTGTTTTTATTAGAAGAATGGGATGATTCTCTATAATTTAACCTTATCTTTGGATTGAGGGGAGAAAAGGGAAGAAAGTTTTTAAAGTTTCAAATCTTTTATCAATTGACTGAAGAGAAAAAAAAATAAAGGAACTAAAATAATAGAAATAAAAAATTAAAAAAATTAGCATCATCTTTTTTTTAATCTTTTTTTCTCATTTTCTTCCATGTCATTAAAAAATTATTAGGGCCTCTTTGGATGGGTTTTTCTCTCTTCAAAAGTTGTTTTACTTCAGGAAAAAAAAACATGTATGGGAGAAATATGTTTGGACGTCTACTTTTAAAAAGAGTAAAAGTTATAAAAAAAAGTTAAAAATCTTTTTTTTAAAATGAAAATTTTAGCTTCTAAAAATAACATAAGTTAAAACACAAATATTTTTTCAAAAACTAAATATTTTTTAAAAATCTAAATAACTTTAACTTTTATAAAAAGTACTTCTAAAATAAATAAAATATAAAAATATTTTTTTTGAAAACTCATCCAAACAATCATTTATTCTCATAGAAGTGAAACAGAGCACTTTTATTATTATTGTGAATTTAAATTGGAATCAAGGAATGGGAACACCCATTTATCAAGTATATATTATTTTATTTTTAAAAAATTCCTGATGTGAATTAAGAGAAATCAAATAAAGGAAATTCAAGAAAAAACAAAGTCAGGTATTGGATGAAGGAAATTCCTAAGATAGAAATTAGGGAACAAATTAGGGAGAAAGTCAAGAAGAATATCAGAAATTTGTGTAAGGTCACTGTTCCCCCGCACTCCGGATTAGTCCCATAGCCGGCTCAAAGAGTCGAAGCTCGTGGGGATACCGGAGGGAGCCAACTCGCACTCAAGAGGCAATCACGCCTAATTTAGGCGTCACTCATCAGGTGTTGACATGTGTCATATTTTTTTTCAAAAAAATATAATTTAATCATAAAACTTCTGAAGGCCATAATTTTTTACTCGGGTATCCAAATCGGGTAATTCTTTTTTTGATTCCACATAAATTTTCGAGATCGACGCAATAACATCTTATTTGACATATTTTATTTCTCACAAACATAATTTAAATTTAAA